AGAATAAGAATGTTTCTTAATGCAAGCACGAGAGGGTCCGTCCTCCCTGCGTGGAGGAATCACGGTTATAGATCCCGGGTGCAGGGCTGAGGAGTGGCGAACTTTAAGAAGCTGCTGACCCCAGCAAGCACAGGGTGGAGGGTGGAGGTCCCGGTCTGGCCAGAAGGTGCTGCTGTAGAGCTTGCTAACTTCTGCCTCCAGGGACGCGAGAAACCAGAAGAGCCTCAGGGACAAGGCTGGAGCCTCCTCTCCCTGGACTTTTACACTTGAGCAACTTTGAGAAGAACTGAGCCGACTTGTACCTGGGATGCATTGGGTGTGATCAGTGGCCTTCAGGGCCTAGCACAGCAGTGGCCTCCTCTCCTATGTGTGGAGATAACAGTGGGTGCTGAGTTTCCTCTCCTGTCCCCTCCCTGACCTTGATCCCTGTCCCCCTTCTCAGCTAGGTTGGTGTGTTTGTCCGCTCTCTGTTTCTTTGCCCCACAGTTATCACATCTGTCGTCCTTTACTACGCAGATTCCGTGCGTGGGACCGGGAAAAGGAGAAGGTAGTAAAGACTCAAGGTTGGAGTGGAGGCTACCCTAGCTCATGCAGTGGAAACCATAGAACACCCTATCCACATTTTCTGCACATAGCACTGTGTGGATGGAAGAGCCAACCTGAGTGTCTCATCTGGTCAAGGATGGAGAGGTTCTCAGGAACGTTTCTGGGAAAGACCCTTCAGACTGTATTGTTTCTCCTGAGCCAAGAAGGTGCTATCCAGGAGACCAAGCAGAACATATCTGGACATGACCAGCCACCTGCCACCCCAGCCACCAGCCACCCCAGCCACCAATTGCCCAGCAATCAGCTACCAGCCACTCCAGCTCCCAGCCATCTAAGCTACCCCAGCCATCAGCCACCAGCCACCAGCCACCAGTCAGACAAAGAGCAAGAAGTCTTCTTCTGGAAGTGTGGTGTTCCCAAGCACTCAGAAGAGGCCTGAGAAGGGACCGGGTTTGCTTCTTATGAACTGTGCTGCAATCTAACCACACGTTTGGAGAAACTTCCCCTCTCATCCTTATCTTGTACCTGAAATGTTTGTCTAGAATTAAACCCAACTCAAGGATAGGAGAAATATACTACTTTCTTTGCAGTGACACAACTTATCATGAGACAGTTTTGTGGACTCTGAAACCTTCTATGTAAAAAGGATTAGGAAATTCCAGAACATTTCTAGTTCCTATTCTTCATTTTTAAAATTTTCTTAAAAATTTTAAGATTTATTTCATTTTTAAGTATGTCTTTGTCTGTGTGTCTGTGAGTGTACTGTATGTGCACCTGAGTGCAGTTGCCCACAGAGGCCAGAAGAGGGAGCTGGACTTACAGGTGATTGTGAGCTGCTTGACACGGGTGAAAGAAACAAGCTTCCATCTCCTAGACCAGCAAGAGCTGTTAGCTGATGAGCCTTCTCTCCAGCCCTTCCATCAAGGTCAAGGGAGACTTTGAACCTATGAAACGAGAATAGTTTTTTGTGCTCTTGTTGAGACCAGGTCTAATGTAGCCCAGACAGGCCTTAAATTCACTATTTTCAAGACTGGCTTTGAATTTTTAATACGCAGCTTCAACCCCCAACCTGTTAGGATGATAAGCATTTGGCCAGGTATTTCTTGTAACCGGATACAAGAAAACTCTCAACAAGCTCAAAGAATTCAGACATTAAAACTGCCGTGTGGGCAGTTGATTATAGAGCACTAATTTAGGGAGATAGAAAATAAAAGTGAGAAGTTACAGGAGACCAGAGGAAAGAGATTAATGAATAAAATGTTAAAAGGGAAAAATTGTGAGCTCGGAGGGCAAGGCAGGAAACATATGCACAATGGCCATCCCCAAAGAAGAGCATGTAGTGCAGGGAGCCAGCTGGAGCTATCACTGGGGGACATGAAGGAATCCTGTGTCACCAAACAAAATCAGGCCAGCAAGGTGCTTCAGTGAGTAAGAGCATTTGCACCAAGCCTGATGACTTAAGTTTGTTCTGGGAGCCCCACAGGGTAGAAAGAGAAAATGGACGCCTGTAGCTTGTCCTGTAACTTCTACATGCTTATCAGAGATATATGCAGTTACAAAAATACATGCACACAGCAAATTTAAAAAAAATGAACATAAAATATCATGGAATTGAATTTCAAAGACTAATGCATTTAAAAATTATTTATAGTTTTGTTTTTGTACACATGGTCATTGAGTGCCTGTTAGCCACTGTGACATCCTGGCCATGAGGGGCTGTAGTCTGGAAGTGTGAGCTAAAATTTGGCCTCAAATTTATTCTGGCCAGAGTATTTTATCACAGTAACAAAGCAAAGGCAGAAACAGGTATTAAGATTTGGGAGCATTTCTGTGATAAGCCTGTGTGGCCTTTAAGCCATTGGAACTGTTTTGTAGGAGGAATGCGGAAGAGTTTTGTACACGGGATGGACAAGCCTTTAAGGTCTGAACACAGAGCTTACTGTGCTGCTCAAATGGAAGCTTGGAAGTAAAGACTGCTGAGAGAGACATGTGGACAGTGGACGCCTGGCTCACGAGGTTTTGCTGAGAGAAATGTGGACAGTGGACACCTGCCTCACGAGGTTTCAGAGATGAGAAAGGACTCTGTCAGGATCTGGACTGGGGCCTTTCGTGTGGTATTTTTGTCAAGAATCTGGCATCATTCTGCCTGTTTCCTGAGATCCAGAGTGAAGTTGCATGGAGAGATGATGGACTGATTAGCAGGATGCCATCCAAGTTGATGCTGGAGAGGCTGCTGTAATTGAGAGGGCAATTGGCACCACTGTGGAGAAGTTACCTGGGCTGCAGTGAGAGAATGGGAGAAGTGCCCTGAGGGTAAAACTCCATTCACCAGAGGATCAACTATGTAATGATCCAAATTTATTCAAAGGAAAAAGCAAAAGCCTAAACTAAAGGAGTTCATTGCCCCCACCCCAAAAAACATTTCCCTAGGGTCAGCACACAGAAACTGATGTAGCTGTGGTCCAAGCAGGCCAGGCTACATTTTGAGCTAGCAGCAGAACTTGGCAGTGCTGTGTCAGCCATGTGGAACTGGTTCTGGAAGCATGAATGATGTAAGATTTAGGGGGTCCAGGAAGGCATCAGAAGTCAGGGATGGTGTGGCAGGGTTGGAGCTCTTGCAGAGAGGGACTGAGAGACTGTTCTGTGAGGTTGGGAAGGTGAAACCTCAGTTGCAGTTGAGACCCTGGAGTATTGGTGACGTCAGAACTAGGAGTCATGGGTTAAGGAGAGCCGCATGTGGGGTACTGCTCATTGGAGGAGATGCTGTGTGCGCAGGCGGCAGAGTGGAAGGTGGGGTTACCCAACTGTGTTTGATCCTAGCTGATTATATTACAAACTCCGGATGCTGGACAGGACGCTCTAAGATTTGTTGTTTGTTCTGCTGGATTTGGGGGGGGGGATGGTTTTGGTCTCGTCTGTGATCCATGTCTTCCTTTTTTGGAATCAGAACATTTACTTTATGCTGTTAGATATTGAAAGTATGAGACTTGATTTGTTTTTTTTTTATTTTTAGGAGCTCACATTGGATTTTTAAAATGTTTAATTTCTTAAAGATTATGGGGCGTTTTAAATTTGGGCTGTATTTAACATTATGAGACAAACATACAGCCTTGGGGAAAGGGTGTGAAAGTTATAGTTTTGTGCACATGTGTGTCAAGTTGACCAGGGGTGGGATTGCGATGGTGGGTTATGTTATGGTTGTTGATTTGATACAATGTAGAATCACCCAGAAAGAGCCTCTAAATGAGGGATCGTCTAGATCATATTAGCCTGTCTGTGGGGGGGTTATCTTAACTACATTAATCGAAGTGAGATGATAGCATCCCCTAGTCAGAGACTCCTGAACTTCTAAGAGTGGAGGAAGTGAGCTGAGCACCGGTGTCCATGCATTCCCTCCCTCTGTCCTCGGCTGTGGAATGACCAGTTGCTTCAAGCTCCTGCCTCTTGACTTCTCCACCGTGGTGGGCTGTAGCATGGAGTGTGAACTAAAACAAAACTCTTTCCCCTCCAAGCTGGTTTGTCAGGGTATTCTTTTACCACAGGAAACAAAACTAAGACAACTGAAAGGTAAGTTTAGTCATTTTTAAACTAAAAAAAGGTAAGGAAAAGTTTAAAAAAGTACCTAGGCACGGTGGCATATATCTGCAATATCAGAGCCAAAGAGTCCAAAACAGGAGGTCAGTCTTGGCTATATAGGAAATATAGTAACATTATATATAATATAATAAATAAAATAAGAGATTGGATAAAGACATATGTGGATAAATGAAAAAAATAACCTAGAGAGTGGAGTATTCATATTAAATTAGAGTTTAAGTAGTTTCAAGTGTTTTGCTTTTGTATTGGTAAAAAGCAGAAATCATAAATTTGTATGAATCATAAACTTTTATGTGGAAATTATAATTATTAGAATATAAAATGTATAACCAAATGAAAGATAAGAGAAAAAACCACAATGTCATAATTACGAGTGAGTTTAACGTGAAACAGTTGCACAGAACAAGTCGAAAAACAGCAGGGAAAGTAAAAACAGGCCATATGTAAAGAGCACCAACTTGGAGTTTAACAAAGGTTAATGGGCTTCGCATCAATCATCAAAGGAGGGCAATGTCTGCCGTCTATCTGTAGGGACTGATGACTGAAGGAAAAAGTCTTAGTTATAAAGAAACACGGGCCAACTGCACAGACCACAGTCATAGCACTCATGAAATCACAAGTTTTACCAATACTTAAAGGCTAATATATTCATCCAGTGAACAGTGATAAAAGGGACCATGTCTGAAGCTTCAGGATTCTTAAAAAATGAGACTATATGAAGATTAAGGGAACATGTTCACAGTCCATTTAGGATCAAATGAATCACATTAAGTATGGTTGCTAAATATTTATAGTTACGCCTATAGATTGTTGCTGCTCTCAGCTGTGGCTTCCGGCATTTCTTTCTGTAAGGGCAGCCGAAGTAAAGTCAACGAAGAGCCTCATAACTGGTCAGAAGACTTAGAATAGTGTCAACGGAATGCTCAGCCCTAAATGAGGCATTTGCAGCTACCACGTCCAGGCTCCGGAAACAGCACAGAAGCTGGGGTAGGAAGAATGGAAGATCCTGGACATGGTTTGGCCATGGCGCTCAGGAGCTCACTGCACCTGTGGTCACTGCAAAAGAGGAAACCAAGATTGATAAGCATTTCAGCAGGCAGCACTAACTGGACTCAGTGGTTTCCAACAAAAGAGAGGATGTGAAAGGGGGATGGGGACGTGTTAGAATGTGGGGGAGCAGTGGAGAGGGAAGTTGGGGGGTGGCTATAGTCAAGAGACATTGTGTACATGTGTGACATTGTCAAGGAGTAGACAAAGGTTATTTTAAAAGATAATTATGTTTACTATTAAGCAAGAGTGAGAAGCAATGTTGCACTCCTCTCTCCAAATACACTTTTAAGTTCATGATGATGAAAACCGAAGACAGGAGTTTCAAGATTATTAATAAACTGTGAGAGCAATGAAAGAGAGCTTTATGAATTTGAATGTTGAAAACAGTGAACTAGATATTATTCAAGAGCTTTCAAAACAGTCACTAGGATGGATTGACCACTGGTAAATCTGATTGAAGAAGAGAGGATGAAGAACAAATATGTAAAATGTTGGATTTGTGGCTATCATTGAGGGGGAAAATGAGAAGATTCTGCAGCTAATCGAATGGCTACTCCGCAGTCCAATCTCTGACTCAGTAGTCAACAAAGATGCAGACTTTTCTTGGGAAAACAGAAACTTCCATGTTGCCCTGAAAAAGGGGTGAGCCCTTACAGGTTAGCAGTCAAGAGGTGAAATATGCAAAGTCGCACACAGGTTAATTTTAATAGCTCGTGAGTCAGTTCATTTACTATGTACCCTCCCACCTGTGCGTGTGTGTAGAGGTCAGAGGTCAACGTTAAGTTTCTTCCTCTGTCGTTCTCCATTTTTGTATTTTGAGACACAATGGAGTTTTCAGTTCTCCTACTAAACCTGAAGCAAACCATCTCATCTAGACTACCTGTCTCTGCCATCTATCTTCTTGGCTCTGGGGTCACAGTCACACATTTTACATGGGGGCTGAGGATCTGGGCTCAGGTCCTCATATTTACACCGGAAGTGCTTTACCTACCGAGACTCCTCCCCAGAGCCCTAATTCCTATAACGTTGAAACGCTTTCAGACTAGCCTGTGGTGTCAGTTCCTTTCTCTTTCCATTAAGGGCTTTGTTTTTAATTCGGTGTTCGTGCAGAATAACTCCAGAGTTCTCCAGGGTTTGGGTAAAGGCTTGAAATAGAAAAAAGGACAAATAACCCCCCTGTGGCATGGACACCGAAAGTACAGGGACAAACCTGCTTCCTACTGCAGTGTTGAACCCCCAAGACTTAAACATGAAACCTGAAAAGTGGCAGAAACTCCAGCTTCTTCTCGTTGGAGGATGAAACTGGTCTAAGCTGGCTGGCCCTGGTGTGGTGCAATATGTGGCTGCCGAATCAAAGAAGAAGAAGAAGCAGCCCTAAATAATACATAGTCAGTGGCAAACAACAGCTTCATATGCCATATAGATCCATTCTAGGAATACAATAATGTTTTAATATTCAGAAATCTATTAATAAAAGATATCACATAGGTAGATTAAAAGAGGAAAGACCTCCATAAACTCCCGGAGGACACCTGATAAAATTCTACATCAATCTCTGATAAAAACTTAATAAGACAGGAATAGGAGAACAGTTTCTTGACATGGGGAAAAAAAAAGCCATTGAAATCAGTCGCTGTACATCACTTAGTAAGAATCCTGAAAAAAGTCCTTCTGTTAAAGCCTCTGCAGCATGAGGAGGTCATGGTTCCAATACTAGTGTCGCTGGTCCATCAGGGCAGGGAGCAGGACTAAGATTAAAGAATACCCAGAAGACTGGATGGTTTGAGTTTGAAACACCTCCCATAGGCCCATGTGTTTGAACACTTGGTTCTGGTGGTACTGTTTGGGTAGATTGTGGAATTTTGGGTATGTGTGTGTGTGTGCGCACGCATGCTCTGTTGGAGGGTGTGGCTTTGACGTTTAGCGCCTATCCACGCTTGCTGTCCTAGCAGCTACTCAAACGTGGGCAAACAGCCTCTTGTTCCTGTCGCTCACTTCAGCTCACTCTTAGCCGTGTCCCCTCCTTGCCATGCTGGACAGTAAACTCCAGCAAGCTCCCCTTCCCTTATGTTGCTATTCTTTGGGCCATTTTTGGTGAAACTACAAGAACAGTAGCACAAGCTACACACCTAAAATCCCTAAAGGAATATGTTAAAGAAAGTGGTGAAGCAGCTTATTTTGATGGTGTCACACACAGATCAATAATTTTCCTACTCCGCACTAATAATTAGCTGGAAAACGAAGTAATAAAGGGTTTCTGGGCCACTCGCTTGAGGTAGCACAGTCCACTCTGTGGGTGAACCTAGTGAGGCCCATTTGGAGGTTCCTTTGAGGAGATGTCAGGCTTTGAGAGACATCAAAAGGATCTTGAATAAACAGTCACTTTGGTTCTGTGTGGAGAAGTCAAAACCTCCACATCTAACTTAGCCTTCCTTTTATGACAATCCCAATCAAAACAGAAGCTGAGAGTTGTGTTTATTCTCCATTGTCAGTTTGATGGGATTTTTTTGAATCACTTGGGAGATACACCTCTGGGCATGCCTGGAAAGGTGTTCCCAGAGGGGCTAACGGAGGTGGGAAGAGCTACCCTGGGTAGTTTGGGTGCCAGACTGAACTAAAGGGGGAAAGGAGGCAGGAAGTCTGATGGGCACCAGTGTGGATCTCCCTCTTCTTCCTGTGTATGGATGAGGTGTGACCTGCTGCTTTTGCTTTTGCGACCACAGCTAGAGTCTCTATTGTTACCTCACACCCCGGCCATGAGTGCCTTCAAACTGAGAGCCAAAAACAACCTCTTTCCTACATTGTCTTTGTTAGATATTTCATTATAACGATGAGCATAGTCACTAACACAAGCCTTGACTCTGATTTCCCCTAGAAGGGTGGTCAATAATAAATGCTACCAGAGAGAAAGGCTATCAGGGGGTAATTAGGCAGTATCCCACAGCTTTAAGGGTAGATTGTGGGTGGGAGATTTGACATGTTAGTGACAGGGAAGAAGGAAACGTTTGCCAAGCACATGAGATCTACCAGGTATCTATCTAACAGAGATTGATAGCATAGGATAACTGTGGCGTTTCAAATAGGTAAGAGATGTCTGGGTGACCCAGTGAGGAGGATGGTGGCAAGTTAATCATTTGGCCAAGCATCTCTTTAGCACTTCCGGATGAAAATGCATTTCAGCAGAGTTAAAGGGTAAGCATAACAGGACTGGGAGTGTCCAGAGAAGAAGGCCCTGGGGTTTGGGGTTCAGAAGGAGTGAGGAGGAACAAAAACCTGACTGTGAGCACAAGGATACGATTTATCCACTCAAACACTGAAAATCGCAGGGCGGGAGAGATGGTATGGTGGATAAGGTGCTCACTGTACAAACATGAGGATTGGAATTCATCTTCAGAACCTACGTCAAAGTGGGGCAGGAATGGAGGCTTCCGGTTATCCTAGCAGTGGGGAGACAGGGACAGGGCATCTCTGGAGGAAGATGGCTGGCTAGACTGGCCAGAACTAATCAGCTCTGGATGCAGTGAAGGACCTGCCTCAAGGAGTGGAGGGTGATGAAGGAAGACACCTGATGCCAACTTTGGGTCTGTACATGTATAAACATATGTATGAATATGCACCTTCACACGTGGACACACATACACACAAAGTTAAAAATTCCTACACCAAATCACACCCTCACCTTTCTTAATTATAGATGTCAGGGGTTGTTATTTTAAATATAAGATCCCCTGTGATTCCGAGGGAGCAAAAAGTCAAAACACATGTGAGAGTATCCATTCACTGAGAACTAGAGGTTCTCACCAAGCATTTGGAGGTGTGTCCATGTTGTTGGTCAGAGGCCCTTTGGCTGATAAAATGGTGAGTCTTGAAACTCCGATGCTGCTGAAATTGCTTTAGTGCGCAGAGCACTAACTGAAAGGGGTGTATGGGTCTCTTTCAAGCTCAGGGATGTGAGTAATTGTTATTTTCTTCTTTATCCTCCTCTGAGTTTCTGGAAGTGTTGGCAATGATGCTGGGTTTCTTATTCACCAGTGGCTAGAAGTATCCTAATAGAAGATGGCTAAAAGTCTCACAAGGACCTGGTCCAGGCCTTCTTCAACACTCTCTGGATGCACTTCTGGTCTTCAGTGGCACTCCTAGATAGACAGGTATGTATTCTCTCGTCCCTGTTTCTCTTTTTCTTCTCTGTCTCTCGTTTATTTTTTTTAATCAGCTGAAGACAGCTCTACCCTAGAAGATCTGACAAGGTTTCTAGCTCCCTTGCTTGATTACACACCCTCTATTTACAGCCTGGCGTACTCTTTTCAAATCGGATTCCTTTTTCCTACTCTGGCTTATGGCAGCCTGGTTTAAACCTCAGCAACTCACAGAAGCCCCTGGAGTTGGAAGCTGGGGAGGAGTTGGAGGTGGAATGCTCCTTTCTCCTGCTCTGCTGGCTCCCCAGGGCTGACCAGGCTCCCACAGTGCTTCAGCTGTTCTGCGCATGACACGGAATAAACTTCTCAGTAGCAGCAGGAACTCCCTCGTGAAAATAAGACTCAGCACATGAGCATAGCAATTTTGAGTTTGATTTGAGATGAGCAAGTAACATCTTAGAATAAGTGTGCATCCATACTGGATGGGATAAACAACATATTGTTTGCCTGAACTCTGAGTTTAGCTTGGACAGCCTGCATTTTATGTGGCATGCACACTGTAGCACACATTTTTGATAGGCCATGTGTGTGCATGGCCTCATGCCTTCCTTTGACCTAAGTTGTTTTATTTGGTAGTGAGGCCTTCACAATTTACTATTAGGTAACCAGGGTTTGCCAGGACC